AAGCCGAAGCTGCGGCGGGGAGCTGTGGTCTCAAGGTCTTAGGTGCCTCAAGGGGCAGTAACCCTCGAACCTTCTGGTGGACACCGGTGGTCAGGGAAGCGGTCCGACTGAAGAAGGAGGCCTTCAGGGATTTGTTATCCGGGGGACTCCCGAGGCAGTTGCAAGGTACTGACAGGCCCGAAGGGCAGCAGCCTCAGCCGTGGCCGAGGCAAAGCAGCTGGTGTGGGAGAAGTTCGGAGAAGACATGGAAAAGGACTTTCGGGCGGCACCAAAGTTGTTCTGGAAAACTGTCCGACACCTCAGGAGGGGGAAGCAGGGAACCATCCAAGCTGTGTACAGTAAGGATGGGACGTTGTTGACCTCAACTGATGGAGTGTTAGGGCGTTGGAAGGAACACTTTGAGGAACTCCTGAACCCGACAACTCTGCCCTCTATGTTAGAGGCAGAGCTGGAGTATGACGGGGGATCAACACCAATCTCCCGGGGGGAGGTCACTGAGGTCGTCAAACAACTCCACAGTGGCAAAGCCCCGGGGGTGGATGATATCCACCCAGAAATGCTGAAGGCTCTGGGTGTTGAGGGACTGTCATGGTTGACACGTCTCATCAACGTTGCGTGGAAGTCGGAAACAGTACCGAAGGAGTGGCAGACCGGGATGGTGGTTCCCCTTTTCAAAAAGGGGGATCAGAGGGTGTGTGCCAATTACAGAGGCATCACACTACTCAGCCTCCCCGGGAAAGTTTACTCTAAGGTACTCGAAAGGAGGGTCAGGCCGATTGTCGAACCTCAGATTGAGGAGGAACAATGCGGATTCCGTCCTGGTCGTGAAACGATGGATCAGCTTTTTACTCTCGCAAGGATCCTGGAGAGGGCCTGGGAGTACGCTTATCCGGTCTACATGTGTTTTGTAGACTTGGAGAAGGCGTATGACCGAGTTCCCAGGGAGTTACTATGGGAGGTGCTGCGGGAGTATGGGGTGAGGGGGTCTCTACTCAGGGCCATCCAATCTCTGTACTCCCAAAGCGAGAGCTGTGTCCGGGTCCTCGGCAGTAAGTCGGACCCATTTTCGGTGAGGAGTTGGCCTCCGCCAGGGCTGCGCTTTGTCACCAATCCTGTTTGTAATATACATGGATCGGATTTCGAGGCGTAGTCATGGGGGAGGAGGTCTGCAGTTCGGTGGACTAAGGATTGCACCACTGCTTTTTGCAGATGATGTGGTTCTAATGGCTTCATCGGTCTGCGACCTTCAGCACTCACTGAATCGGTTCGCAACCGAGTGTGAAGCGGCTGGGAGGGGATCAGCACCTCCAAATCTGAGGCCATGGTTCTCAGCAGGAAACCGATGGACTGTCCACTCCAGGTAGGGAATGAGTCCTTACCCCAATTGAAGGAGTTCAAGTATCTCGGGGTCTTGTTCTCGAGTGAGGGAACAATGGAGCTTGAGATGGGCCGGAGAATCGGAGCAGCGGGAGCGGTACTGCAGTCGCTTTACCGCACCGTTGTGATGAAAAGGGAGCTGAGCCAGAAGGCAAAGCTCTCTGTCTACCGGGCCATTTTCGTTCCTACCCTCACCTATGGTCATGAAGGATGGGTCATGACCGAAAGAACGAGATCGCGGATACTAGCGGTCGAGATGGGTTTTCTCCGCAGGGTGGCTGGCGTCTCCCTTAGGGATAAGGTGAGAAGTTCGGTCATCAGGGAGGGACTCGGAGTTGAACCGCTCCTCCTTCGCGTCGAAAGGAGCCAGTTGAGGTGGTTCGGGCACCTTGTTAGGATGCCACCTGGACGCCTCCAGCTGGGAAGAGACCAAGGGGTAGATCTAGGACCAGGTGGATGGATTATATCTCTTCGCTGGCCTGGGAGCGCCTTGGGATCCCCCAGTCAGAGCTGGTTGATGTGGCCAAGGAAAGGAAAGTTTGGGGCTCTCTACTAGAACTGCTACCCCCGCGACCCGACCACGGATAAGCGGGAGAAGATGGATGGATGGATGAATGGTGCCAGAGTAGGGAGGGACTTCCACAGGCCGGCCGAATGCTGATTGGAGGATCGTGTTGCCAAGAGACTTTTTTCTAAGTCTGTGCACCTACCAAAGTCAGCTAGTCTTGACTAATCATAAATGTGGGGCAACACCCTGTGTAATAAAAATGTATGTATGTACGCACGAGGTTCGAGGCTCTTGTCCGGAAATAGACTGACAGATTGCAGCTTTGCTGTCTGTGATTTCTATGACGTCACAGAGTCCTTGGCCAAGTGAATATTTTGCTCTCTTTGACAGTATCATGATTTTAGTTGTTATTGAATCCATAACATTAGTGTGTGTTTCTTTACCAGAAACATTAGCAGTTCATTATTATATTTAGATTTTAAATAGAATTTCAAGAATTTGATTTAAGAATAACACAGATGCTTGTCAGAAATTCAGAGCTATTGAAATATGTTATTTAGTTCACCTAAAGATGTTGAAGTTTAATATTGTTGGCACTGTCCAAGTATTAATATTCTGAAGCTGCACTGGCAGATAGGAGGTCTACAATTAATTTAGAAAATATTAACATTAGAAATAATAAGCACACCATTTATAATTGACAGAGATAAGAAAAGACATACACGTGGTTTAAACAGAAAATGAAGATGAAGAGAATGTGAGATTAAAGCCAAAAGTGTAAATGAAAGAGCATGTGTTTGACATGTGAAAGTATGAAATGGTAGTGGTACTAGAATATCTTATGAACAATCAAAGTGCTGTAACTCAATCTCAAATTAACCATACTCGCAGAACACCCCACAGACAGCAGAACTAAATGGTTAAGCTAAAGACAGCATTAGGGTGCCTCCTGATGAGTTTAAAGATATAAACCAAATATCAGCAGGTTTTGAATCAACATTCCTCTGTCCCACAATCAACAAGGATGTGGATGGAGAGAATTATATCTACTATAACCAGCAGAGATTCATAAATTACACCAGAGACGCAGTAAAAAGAAAAATAGACATAGATAGACCTTAAAAGGTGTGAAAGGAGGGATTTGTGGAGTCTATTTTTATATAACATTACAAGATTGATTCTTATTATTACATGATATGCTTATTGTGCTCATGAGATTGCTATGACTAAAAGAAATAGACACAATCACTAATCCCAGGTTCTGATGGATTAGATACCAACGAGGGGAATAGTCAGAAGAATGTTTTCAGCTTGCAATACTAATATAGCAAGGTCAGGTGCAGACGCTGGAAGAATTCAAAGAGTTATTCATAAACAGGACATCACTCCAGCCTTGAGCTTTGGGTGAGCTCCGCTCCCACACATAGCTAGGAAGCAGCCTTATGAAGATTCCACTTTTTCTGTAGAAACGTTAGCGAAAACAAATTACGTATGATGGTGCCAGAGTAGGGAGGGACTTCCACAGGCCGGCCGAATGCTGATTGGAGGATCGTGTTGCCAAGAGACTTTTTTCAAAGTCTGCGCACCAACCAAAAAGAACCAAGTCTAAACCATAGTATCTCTTCAGCTAGTCTTGACCAATCATAAATGTACGGGCAACGCCCGGTGTAATCAAAATGTATGCACGCACAAGGTTCGAGGCTCTTTACGGATATGGTGGTTACAGATTACAGCTCTGCTGCCTGTAGTTTCTATGACGTGACGGAGTCCTTGGCCAAGTAATATATATCTTTTGCTCTCTCATAATAAATAGTTAAACTTAGAAGTTGTCTGTCTTTATTGGAATTTTGAACACAACACTAGCTGAGTTTAACCCAGCTTTTTATGGCTCAGCGCTAAAGTGGAAGCTCTGGGGCATTTTGTCTCCTTCATGCCATCCTCTCATCAGCAATAAAAGCCCTCAATTTACAACACTGAGAGGGAATGCAGTGTGCCACAGGGCAGCGGTTACACAGACAGATTACCTGCAAATCCCACCCGGGAGAAATGGAGAGCAGCCACATCAGCAGACTGCAGCCAGACTCACACACTCTCTCACACACACACACACACACTCTCACACACACACTCTCACTCACTCACACACACACACACACACACACACACACACACCACACACACACACACACACACACACACACACACACACACACACACACACACACACACACACACACACACACACACACACACACACACACACACACACACACACACACACACACACACACACACACAAACACACAGCACGCAGCACAGGGCCAAAGCACTTCATTGGGGATGCAGGAGGGAGCGAGGTGATGCTGCTGACAGGCTGATATGAAATGTGAGTGGACTACAACAGGAGCACAGTCCTCATTGGGTTGGAAGTGTTGGAAAGTCATATTAACATCTAAATCAAAGGGCAAAGGTCATAGTTATGGGGGGGGGCATCTGCAAACTGGCTGAAAGAAGGACACACCAATCTGACATAAATAAAAGGGTAATATTATATATATATATATATATATATGTGTCTCTGGAGAAAAACCTGTGGTTTACTACGGCACATAAAACTTGAGCTTTAACAATTTGGTTCCCACTATTTGTCATTGATGTCAAGTAACTAAGTAGCTTTACTCAAGTTGACTTAAGTAAAATGTTGAGGGACTTACTTGACTATTTAAATGTGTTGCTACATTGTACTTTTACTCCACTACAGTTCAGATTGAAATGGTGTACTTTTACTCCACTACATTTATTGAATACCTTTAGTTACTTCACAGATGTGGATGAATGATGTGAAACATAATCAAGTGTTAAATCAGACTTTAGTTCCACCTGGAGTAAATTCACAAGCTACTTTACCCTGCAGTCATTCAAACTAGCTGCACCTTTACCAGCTTTGAGAATACTTTAATGATCAATCATTATAAAACATATCATATATATTATTGTGAAATGGACCAATCTGCACAAGGACTACTTTTAATTTTTGTACTTTAACTATATATATTCATTAACATGTCACAATGCTCACACAAACAATGAAACAGAGATATAAAATGAATTTGACTTCTTTCAGCATAAAACATTATTCTTTATCAAAACGCATTTTATAAACTCACATTCAGCAGATACATACTTGGAACTTTAAACAATTGTCAATGCAGAGACTGAGTTCAGCTCAGTATTGAGTGATCTGAAGGGGGGGGGGGGGGGGGGGGGTGTAGTTGTGAGGTGTTATTGCTCAGCGGGGACCACCACCAGGAGGATCTGCAGGGTTCTGTTGAAGCAGTCTGGAGACACAAAGGCAATCACACACACATCTCTGGTTTATACAAGGGGAAATATTTGACACATTAACCTAAACACAATGTGTGATGGAAAAACAAAAGAGCTCACAAAGAACATTTACACGGTTATGACTATCTGGGAATAAGATACTATCAGCAAACATTTCCTGACCTACTACTTTAAAAAAAATAGTATCACTTGGAGAAAAATAAAATAGTCTGATCCATTTATTTTCATCATTTTTCTGTTGGATGTGAAGTTCCATTAACATGTTTCAGTTATGACTCACCTAATGCCCTCTGAAGCCACTTTGGTCTATGGTTAAAGTAAATGAAGATGTAGTAGGCGGGGATGCCAGTGAGGGAAATGGCAAATCCAATCCCTGTGTTGACCGGGTCCGAGTACAGAGACAGGAAGACCATGAAGAAACAGGTGAGGCAGAAAACCACCGGGATGAAGAGCGGAACCTGTGGACACGCTTAGATTACTATCCATTTTGTGTTTGTCGGCAGATACAAGGATATGCATGCATATTCAGCGAGTCAACTGTTTGTGGAATTGGATCACATTCACATGTTTCTTTTAGGCAAGGCAAGTCATTTATATAGCAGCTTTCAACATAAGACAATTCAAAGTGCTTCACAAAAATGAAAAACATTAAGAGCAGTAGTGTAGCAGAATCATATTATAAAGTCTTTAAAAATCTAAGATAATACAATAAACATAAAACAAGCTAATATATAAAATACATGGATAAAAGTTACAGTGCAGTTTAAGATGTGAATAGTTCAATTAAAAGCAGCGGCAAAAAGATAAGTCTTCAGCCTGGATTTAAAAGTAGTCAGAGCTGCAGCGGACCTGCTGTTTAGTTCTGACTCTGGGGACAGAAAGCTGACCAGTCCCTGAAGACCTGAGAGTTCTGGATGGTTCATCATTTAGCAGGAGATCAGAAATGTATTTTGGGCCTAAACCAGTATTTTGAAATCAGTTCTTTGACAGACAGGAAGCCAGTGTAAAGACTTCAGAACTGGACTGATCCACTTTCTTAGTGTCAGTGAGGAACCAGTGTAAAGACTTCAGAACTGGACTGATCCACTTTCTTAGTGTCAGTGAGGAACCAGTGTAAAGACTTCAGAACTGGACTGATCCACTTTCTTAGTGTTAGTGAGGAACCAGTGTAAATACTTCAGAACTGGACTGATCCACTTTCTTAGTGTCAGTGAGGAACCAGTGTAAAGACTTCAGAACTGGACTGATCCACTTTCTTAGTGTTAGAGAGGAACCAGTGTAAAGACTTCAGAACTGGACTGATCCACTTTCTTAGTGTTAGTGAGGAACCAGTGTAAAGACTTCAGAACTGGACTGATCCACTTTCTTAGTGTTAGTGAGGAACCAGTGGAAAGACTTCAGAACTGGACTGATCCACTTTCTTAGTGTTAGAGAGGAACCAGTGTAAAGACTTCAGAACTGGACTGGTCCACTTTCTTAGTGTTAGTGAGGAACCAGTGTAAAGACTTCAGAACTGGACTGATGCACTTTCTTAGTGTTAGTGAGGAACCAGTGTAAAGACTTCAGAACTGGACTGATCCACTTTCTTAGTGTTATTGAGGAACCAGTGTAAAGACTTCAGAACTGGACTGATCCACTTTCTTAGTGTTAGTGAGGAACCAGTGTAAAGACTTCAGAACTGGACTGATCCACTTTCTTTCTTTTTTTTAAATATTTGTATTCACATGTAAAAAAAAAAAAGTGTAACAGTGCATTACAGCAATTAAGGCATTTTCATTTTTTCCCTCCCAAAAGAACCCTTACTCACTTTCCCTTAACCCCGCCCCATCCCAACCCATCCCAACCACCCCTCTCCCGGAGCACTGAGGCAACAGTACATCAATACAATACAAAATGATAGATACAATCATATACATGCACATACATACATACATACATACATACATACATACATACATACATACATGTACACATACTAACACATATCCAGGGATGTCACATGGGCTGCATATGTGGTGGACAGGGGAGTAATCATATCAGAATTATAGACGGATAAATAAAGGGAGAATCCCTACAGCGACACCATATCAGGGGGAAGACGGTCTACATAGCTGATCAGTGGCCTCCAATGAGCGTAAAACTTATCTGAGGAACCCCGGAGAGTAAACTTGATTTTTTTCCAACTTTAGAAGAGACATAGTATCACTCAGCCACATTTTAAAAGAGGGAGGTAAAGGAGATTTCCACAAAAGAAGGATTTTCCTACGAGCAATCAAGGAGGTAAAGGCGATGTCATTGGTTTGAGTGTTTGTAATGTTGATTCCATCTGGGGGCCTACCGAAAATAGCTACATGAGGGGATGGAGAGATTTTTAGACCTACAATTTCAGAAATACATTCGAAGAAAGATTGCCAGAAGCTAGATAATTTAGGGCACGACCAGAACATGTGAGTCAGGTCGCAGGGGGCCTGGGAGCATCTATCACACCGGTCATCCAATATATCTGGATAAATCCTGGAGAGCTTAGCCTTGCTATAATGTAGTCTATGGAGAACTTTAAACTGTATTAGGCTGAGTCTAGCGCAACTGGAGGATGAATTAACGGCTCTCAGGGCCTTCTTCCAAAAGTCATCAGAGAAGGTGAACTGTAGTTCCTTTTCCCAATTAGTTCTAATCTTGTTAATGGCAGATTCATCAACCGGAGAAAAAAGATCATAAAAGTAAGAGACATGGCGCCTAGACAAAGTTCTTTCTCTAAGTACAAGGAGGCAGGGATTGAGGGAATTGTGGAGAGTGGGTCTTAGCAAAATCCCTTAGTTGAAAGTATCTAAAGAAATCAGATCCTCTTAGATTAAAGGCAACCCGTAGTTGGTCAAAACTGGCAAACAGGCTATCAATGTATAACTCCCCTATGCAGCGGAGGCCTTCCCTCTCCAAGTGAGAAAATCGGGGGTCAATTGTGGCTGGTAAAAATAGATGGTTGTTACAGACAGGAGTTGCTTGAGGAAGAGTAAGCCAACCAAAGTGACGTCTAACTTGTGCCCAGATCTTTAAAGTGCCAATTACAACGGGGTTAGATGTGAATTGTGAGGGGGAAAGGGGCAGAGTGCTACACGCGAGGGCTTGAAGTGACGTGGATCGACATGAGTTGGCCTCCACAAGACACCAGTCACTCTGGGGTGAAGTGAACCAGAGCATGATCTTGTGTGTGTTTGTGGCCCAGTAGTAACCCATAAGGTTAGGTAAACCAAGCCCACCCAGGAACCTGTCCCTCTGCAGTAATGGTCTACTAGCTCTTGCATGTTTACCAGCCCAAATAAATGAGGAAATAATATTATCAATAGCAGTGAAAAAAGATTTAGGCAAAAAAATAGGTAGGCATTGGAAGATGTATAGATATCTGGGCAGTACATTCATTTTTATTGTCTGAACTCTTCCTGCTAAAGAGAGTGCCAGATGGCCCCACCTCTGCAGGTCAGATTTGACTGTTGCCGTCAGGACAGTAAGATTTTGTTCCCGTAGCGCACTAAAAGACTGCGTGATTGCAATGCCCAGATATTTAAACCCTGAGTTGGATATTCTAAAAGGAAACGACAACGGAGGTAATTCTGTAGCCAATTGGTTGATAGGGAAACATTCACTCTTTTGGATGTTTAATTTGTATCCTGAAAATGAACCAAAAGTGGTCAAAAGTGAGAGAATGTGTGGATTACTAGCTATAGGATCGCGCACATACAGAAGGAGGTCGTCAGCATATAACGAGACCCTGTGTTCGATATCCCCTCTCTGAATCCCCTTAATTCCTCTCTCTGCTTTTAGAGCAATCGACAATGGCTCGATAGCAATTGCAAATAGTAGTGGGGAGAGCGGACACCCCTGACGCGTCCCGCGAAAAAGAGGAAAGAATTTGGAGCGCTGGGTGTTCGTACATAAAGAGGAGTGAGGAGAAGAGTACAGAAGTCTAACCCAGGAGACGAGGCCTGGACCAAAGCCCAGCTGTTGAAGGACAGAAAACAGATAGGCTCACTCAACCCTGTCGAAGGCCTTCTCAGCATCAAGAGATATGACAACCTCCGGTTCAGCAGGAGAAGGCGGGCTGTGGATGACGCTGAGAAGTCTTCGGACATTTGTGAAGGAGTGCCTCCCCCCTATGAATCCTGTCTGATCTTCCGAAATGATGGAGGGTATAATAGATTCCAACCGGCGAGCAAAAATCTTCGCAAGTATTTTCACATCTACAGACAGGAGCGAGATTGGGCGATATGATGCACAGCTCAACGGGTCCTTACCCTTCTTAAAGATCAGAGAGATAGAGGCTTGCATAAGGGTGGGCGGCAGTGAGCCTTGGACGTACGACAAATTAAACATATCTAATAATAATGGGGAAAGTTGATTTGAGAATTTTTTGTAGAATTCTACCGGGTATCCGTCAGGTCCCGGTGATTTGCCACTATTCATGGACTGTATTGCCTCTTTAATCTCAGCAAGCTGCAGGTTGGCATCTAGTGTCTGTTGGTCGTTAGTCTAAATCTTGGGCATATCCAATTTATCCAAAAATGTATGTAGCTGATCTTAGTTATCAGGGGATTCAGACGTGTAGAGATGAGAGTAGTAGGTTTTAAAGATGTCATTAATCTCTCCCGGGTCAGAAGTGAGAGAGCCCAACCCGTCCCGAATCTGGGTGATTTGGTTCGAGGCCACCCTAGCCTTTAGTTGGTGGGCCAGGAGACGGCCAGCTTTATCGCCATGTTCATATATAGACCCTCGTGAGTGTGGAAGGAGTCGTTCAGCCTCTCTTGTTAGGAGAAGGTCAAGTTCTGTTTGGAGCCCCATCCGTTCTTTAGATAGATCAGGAGATTGAGTGGAAAATAGTTGGTTGTCTAGATTAATGATAGATTCTTCCAGTTCTCTTTGGCGTGCTCTACGAAGTTTATTAACATGAGACGTATGCGAGATGATCTTACCCCTAAGAAAAGCTTTAAGGGTTTCCCAGAGTAGGGACGCAGAGGTCTCTTCATTTTGGTTGGTCTCACAGAAGAATGCAATTGATTCCGAAATACACTCACAAAAGGCTGCATCAGAAAGTAAAAGAGGGTCAATACGCCAGAATCTAAATTCCTTAGCCTTATGATCAAAGTGAAGGTCCAGGATCACAGTTGAATGATCTGATACAGTTATCGGTGAGTACTGAACGGAGACAATCGACGAAATAAATGTTTTATCAACAATAAAATAATCTATGCGAGAGTATGAACGATGTGCATGGGAAAAGAAAGAGTATTGCCTAGCCGAGGGGTGTAAAAATCTCCACGGGTCGACGTAGCCATAGTGGTCCATAAAAGCAGAGAGAGTCTGTGCCGTTTTAGAGGGCGCCACAGTTCTGGAACTAGATCTGTCTAGTGTTGGGTCTATAACACAATTCATATCTCCTCCCAGTATCAATAGGTGGGAATTCAAATCGGGGATGGTGGAGAATAGCGATTTCACAAAATTATGATCATCCCAATTGGGAGCATACACAGAAACTAAGATGACCGGCTTCTGATAGAGAGTACCAGAAATGATGACATAACGTCCATTTGGATCTAAAATTGTATTAGTAGGGGTGAAATTTACTTTTTTCCGAATTAAAATGGCTGTGCCCCTTGTCTTTAGGTTAAATTGTGAATGAAACATTTGTCCAATCCACGGCCTATTCAGCTTTCGCTGATCAGATTTACAGAGATGTGTCTCTTGTATAAACATTATATCCGCCTTCAGGTTTTTAAGATGTGTCATAATCTTTGTGCGTTTCACCGAAGCATTCAACCCACCAGTGTTCAAGGAGAGTATCCTGACCGCCTGTCCACCACCAGTCCCTGTACCAGTTACATTAGCCATGACACTGCATACAGCATCGAAGATCTAAGATCAGCCTTAGAACATCCACAACTAAAAATGGAGAGAACAGTGTACATAAAGATGACAAAACAGAATGTAAATGAAACAGCTGCCTCAAACAAATGGAAACCTGTAGCCCCATCAAGATAAATGCCCCACCCTCTCCCTCCCATCCTCTACTCCCTCCCACCTCCTCCCATGCCCTAGCCCCCCTCCCTCCCCACCCCTGAGCTCCATCTGCCAATGAAATTGGCAATAACTTCCCTACCTGAATCATCTCTCCTTCTTCAAGGTGTCTCAGTACCCACATCATGCAGATAAAACCTTCTTAGTAAGTGTAACAATTGTGAACAGCAAATGTTAACAAGAACATTGCAAAAGTGCAAGAACATCCCGGGTATAGTGTAAATACAAAAATGAGAACAATTAAATTAAATTAAAATAGATGTAAACATGTCACATCGTGTGCTGACTTGGCCGAGCAACGTTAGTTATAAAAGAAATTACGTCCCAACAGAACGACGGCTGTAAAGTGCCCAGAAACAATTATGAACAGCATGAGTTAACAAGGACATTCGAAAAAGTGCAAAAAACACCCCGGGTATATAGTGTAAATATACAAATGTAATCATACAAAAAATAAATGTAGACAACATGTCGCATTGTGCGCTGTCATGGCTAGGTAACGTTAGATTATACAATCAATTGTGTCCCAACATAACGGTTGTAACGTACCCAGTCCACCATCAATGCAGCGCCAGCGCGGTTTAGCATAGCCTAGCTTAGCTCAGCCACCACTAGCCTAGCACAACATCAGTGGTTAGTTAGCCGGCTCGCGTTCATAGCCAGCTGCAAAGGCTACAGCCTCCAGGGGCGAGGGGAACCTTTTCTTAGTCCCACTTCCAAGTGTGATCTGCAGGCGAGCAGGGAACAAAAGAGCCGGTCTGAGGCCTAGGTTGTACAGCTTTGACATGATGTCTCGGTATTTCGCCCGCTGTTCGAGAACCTCCTGTGTGAAGTCTTCGTAGATCTGCACTGGTGTCCCACGGTAGCGGAGATCCCCTCGTCTCTTGCGGGCCTCCCGGACAATCAGGTCCTTGACTTGGTAGCGATGCAGCCGCAATATCACAGGTCGCGGTCTCGTCCCTGGCTGCGGCCTAGCAGCCGGCGCTCTGTGTGCACGGTCCAGCTCGGGAGGGGATTGGAGAGTTTCATTGCCTAGCAGCTCGACCAAAAGTTCAGAAAAGAAGGTTGTAGGCCGGGGTCCCTCAATAGACTCAGGAAGTCCAATGATTCTAATGTTATTTCTGCGGCTCCGACCTTCCAGATCTGCGGTCTTCGCAGCTAGCTTAGCATTGCTATCTGCTAATACCGCACACTTCTCCTCGAGTATAAGGAGTCGCTGATCTTGCAGATTGGCATTGGTCTCAAGAGAGTCTATTTGTTCCCCATGTTCTGCGACTGTGGTCTACGTTTGGTTCAGCTTCGCCTCCAGTACCGCAAAGGCAGCTTTGAAGTCAGCTGAAATGCTAGCTCTGTGCTCCCTCTGTGCTCGCTCTGTGCTCTTCAAGCAGGCTAATTATGCTCGCCATGTCCGCGCCAGCAACTTCACTTGCACTTGAGAGAGCAGTTTCGGTCTTTTTTGCCTGTTTCGTCTCCGTTTTCAACGCAGGTTTCGGCATCACATCGGCTTGTTCTGATTTATAGTCCAAATGATGTTCACACAATACGGGTTTAACTCAACTTCGGTGGTTTTAAATTAAATGTAGAAAGTAAAGTCGTGGGAGAACGAGACAACGCAGCCCTCACATGTTCGTCCAACCGGAAGTCTCCTAATCCACTTTCTTAGTATTAGAGAGGAACCAGTGTAAAGACTTCAGAATTAGACTGATCCACTTTCTTAGTGTTAGTGAGGAACCAGTGTAAAGACTTCAGAACTGGACTGATCCACTCTCTTAGTGTTAGTGAGGAACCAGTGTAAAGACTTCAGAACTGGACTGATCCACTTTCTTAGTGTTCGTGAGGAACCAGTGTAAAGACCTCAGAACAGGACTGATCCACTTTCTTAGTGTCAGGGAGGAACCAGTGTAAAGACTTCAGAACAGAACTGATCCACTTTCTTAGTGTCAGTGAGGAACCAGTGTAAAGACTTCAGAACTGGACTGATCCACTTTCTTAGTGTTAGTGAGGAACCAGTGTAAAGACTTCAGAACTGGACTGATCCACTTTCTTAGTGTTAGTGAGGAACCAGTGTAAAGACTTCAGAACTGGACTGATCCACTTTCTTAGTGTTCGTGAGGAACCAGTGTAAAGACCTCAGAACAGGACTGATCCACTTTCTTAGTGTCAGGGAGGAACCAGTGTAAAGACTTCAGAACAGAACTGATCCACTTTCTTAGTGTCAGTGAGGAACCAGTGTAAAGACTTCAGAACTGGACTGATCCACTTTCTTAGTGTTAGTGAGGAACCAGTGTAAAGACTTCAGAACTGGACTGATCCACTTTCTTAGTGTTAATGAGGAACCCGTGTAAAGACTTCATAACTGGACTGATCCACTTTCTTAGTGTTAGTGAGGAACCAGTGTAAAGACTTCAGAACAGGACTGATCCACTTTCTTAGACTCGAGCAGCGGCGTTCTGAATCAGCTGCAGCTTTCTAATAGATTTTTTAGTGAGACCTGTGAAGACATCATTACAGTAGTCCAGTTTGCTGAAGATAAAAGCATGGACAAGTTTTTCCAAATCCTGCTGTGACATTAGTCTTTTAATCCTATATATGTTCTTTAGGTGATAGTAGGCTGATTTACTAATTGTTTTAATGTGACTGTTGAAACTCAGGTCAGAGTCCATGACTCTGCCTAGATTTCTGGCTTTATCTGTTGTTTTGAACATTGCAGACTTAGACCCCATTTACACGGGGGCGCAAAAACAAACGGACCGAATTCGTTATCAAAAAAGTATTCCGTTCACACGCATTTGGCTCATTTAACGTGTCCGTTCAGACGAGACCACTGGAAACGCTGTAGTACATATGCGGGGCCAGTAAGTGGCGCTGTACTTCTGCCACAAAATACACCAAATGCAGCGAAGAAGACCCCCGAGCATGGTTGCCATGGTTGCCCTTCTGTTTATGCCCCGCGGTGGACTTAGCAAAATGTAGTTCATGTAGTTCTCCATGTCCCATTGTTGCTGATGGTTGTGGTAGAGGAGCTGTAGATTTTGCACTAACATCTGTAGCATGGTCAGTAGCAGTAGCTACTGACCATGCTACAGCAGTGAGCAGCAGAGGTGGGGCTATGGCTTCATCGTTATCAGAAAATGATCGTATAGGACATACACACGGAGCCGTTTGGCCCCCCAGAGCGTTCAGTTTGCAGATCTATCCACCTTGGGACCCGTTATCATTTGCGGGGTCTGTTTCCACGGTTCCGTTACGGCCTCAGGTGAACAAACGGGCTATACGCGAGAGAAAAGTAGCAGATAGAACCCGTTTCGTTCTCGTGAAAACACCCCCTGAAGCTCAGCGCTGACTTTTATTCCTTCCTCCTTGGGTCCAAAACATTTTAGTTGTTTTACACACAACTAAAGACTTTCCCAGCAATATAAAGCAGCTACAAAAAGAGGAACTGTGGAATACAATGTGTGTTGGTTAAAACTGTGGGGAACATTCAGAGTGTGTGAACAGCTGTAGGAAAACTGACCTTAAAGGGCCGGGGGAGGTCAGGTTTGGTATATCGAAGGTAGATTAATCCCAGCACCACCACACCGATGAACAGCCACCGCAGGAAACTCATGAAGTTCAACAGGCTGTAGATGTCTCCCACAAAAACCTGGAGCATTGTCATAGGGTACTGCACACACACACACACACACACACACACACACACACACACACACACACACACACACACACACACACACACACACACACACACACACACACACACACACACACACACACACACACACACACACACACACACACACACACACACACACACACACACACACACACACACACACACAGACACACAGACAGACACACACACACACACACACACACACACAAACACACACACACACACACACACACAGGCAAAAGGCTTAATAATCGTTTTTCATCATTGGCAAACATTTGTGAATGACAAGATTGCAGTGTTTTTAAATAAAACTCTCCAGATTTTTTATATTAACAATGCAATTTGAGTAGAAGATAGAATCGGAGGGATGAAACCCTCTTTAATGGTCACACATGCAGAGCACAGAGCACACACAGTGAAATTTGGCCTCTGCATGTAACCCATCCTAGTACCAGGAGTCTAGTACTAGGAGCAGTGGGCAGCTATTGTACAGCACCCAGAATGCCTTGCTCAAGGGCACCACAGCAGGGCCCAGGATGGTGAAATGGGACGTCTCCAAGTAGCAGTCCACACTCCATATTTAGGTCTGGTCGGGGACTTGAACCAGCGACCCTACGGCTCACAGTACAAGCCCTTACTTACTGAGCCACTGCCGTAACCATATCTCAGTAACCCTAGCAACAACACTATCCTTAATGAAATATACCAGCAGATGATAATTAACATTTGGTATAGTGATGAATTAGTTTGAACCAAGGTATATATGTTGTCATTATAGATTTGTGTTGAGAACTAACTTGGTTGTGTTTAATGTTTGATAAGTCAAGTAATGGTATTATATTTACTGTTGTCACTATTGTTCATATAGAGTGGTGCAGGAATGAGTCCTAAAAACTGCTAATGATTTAGTATTTTAGCATTTCCGGTTCCTTTGTTTTAATTCACTGGGTTTTCTGAATGTATTTTTGGTTAGAAGCCTGAAATAATGTCTGTGCTCAACACAAGCTGAAGAGACTCAAACATTTTCGACAAGAAAGTCAGGTGAAATTCTGATGCTTCTCTGTGTGATAAAAAAAGAAGTTAAGTTAAGTTAGTCTACCAAATGCCAAACGCCTTTAGCTTAGCGGTGGTGATGTGAAGTCATGTGACAAAGCTGTAGACAAAGCTAATGTTAGTTTTTTAATTCATGCGATTGCATTTACACCTAAAACAACACAGGTGTGGTCTAAACTTGTGGAGTTCAATCTGCTAAAAATAATGTGTAAGTATAATAAACCTTTGTTTCCAAGAGGTTTTTTTTTGTTGCATTAATCCAATTGGCCTTTTGTCGGGGTAACCAGTGCGATGCTAACTTTTGGGGTGACCTACAAACTGACGTCCTCCCTGCACCACTCTGTAGTACTGACCAGTATGAGAACAGCAGCCAGCGGAGTGTGTTTGTGGACGTGGATCATGGAGAAAACCTCAGGGAGATGTCCTTCACGAGAAGCCACATAGAACATTCTGTTGAATACACACACACACACACACACACACACACACACACACACACACACACACACACACACACATGCACAATAATGACATGTAAATATATATATATATATATATATATATGTAAATATATACATATAATTCAGGAAAACAACAACCCAGTAATCGCACAGCGGTTTTTCCACTGATCATGTGATAGCTGCTAACTAGCTCATTTGAATTATGTTACTGTGCTTTTCTGGTTCTGAACAGGTTCTTATTTTAAGCCCCAGTTGTGTTTCCACCAGCCGGATGATTATTAATGTGATTAATGAGCAGCATTTACTGACCGCTGCAATGCTGCTGTTCCACCAGCGTTTAGTCTACCGTTTAGTCTACCGTTTAGTATACCGTTAACTAGCTGGAAAACAGTAATTCACTGTCTGACTGTCACACAAGCAACTATAGCATATCCCCCATCCCCATAGGTGAATGTGTTTCAGTCTGAGTTGATGCTTTTTGGCATCACAACGCCATTATTAAAGTTTCTCTGCTATTAGACAGGTGATGTTAGCATAGCAACCCAAGCTAATCTGACTATCTTGACTGTTTGTTGTTATCATATTGTTGAATTAGCCGTTTTCTACAGGCATATTTTAACAGCGGTTTTTTCCATTATGATTTTACTTGTGTATGTACTTATTCCACCGATAGCTGCTATAATAAAGACTACAGGAAAACGTATGAGGCAGTGTGCTGGTCTTCAAAACAGGAAATTACAGCGAACGGATGGGCATTGAAAGTAAGGTAAACAAAGGTAAAAACAAACAGCATCCCACTCTGCCTGGTTAGTGTTGCCTCACTTTATATAAGTGTGTGTTTTATAGTTGTGTGGTCGCATTCTAGTCACTTTGCTTGTTAAGATACTGGTGATGATACTCAAAGCTTTAAAGCCAGTGGAGAGGAAGCCTGTCTGTACCTTGATAAGGCGAAGAGGGAGCCATTCATGGAGCCAAAGCAGGACAAGGCCACAAACAGCGGCACCACGACAGAGAAGTTCCCCATCAGCTTCTCTGCAAAAGTCTGTGGCGACAAAACAACAGGCATCACAGAGGGAGAAAAGTGTGGAGATATTGCTTAAAGTACTTAATAAGTATCACTATCACCATGACGTGAGTTTCATTGGATCTGTTTACTGGTTGAGAAATTCTCCATTACCAAGAAAATAATATACCACATCTCAAAATGACATAGGAAGTAGTTAGCTTGTTGCTCCAAACTGAACCTCACAAACAAACTATAACATGGTATTTGGGGACCTTAGAGCTTCTGGTCATTTATTTGGAGTATTTTTTAACTAGCTTGGCTAGCTGTTTCTCATTTCTTCCATTCCTCTCTGTTCTGAATCCAGCATTGTACTTAACAAAACCAAAGAAAGAAATGAAGCAAACAATTATGTTGGATAAAATGACAGCGGGGCTCTGCTTTGAATGTATAAAACTCTCCAGCTATCAGTTTATTGAATTGCGGTTTTGTCTTTTTATTAACTGTAGCTGGTTAGATAGAATTTGAGCAGTTGACAGTGCTGCTGGCAGTAATTGTCATAAATAGGTCATGCACAAGTGGGAGCAAAAGCTGCTTATTATTCATGAAGCCATTCAGTGCTGATTAATCACAGTCCATTCTTGTGTGGAGGAGTGGGGGCTGTATGAAGAAACAAATCTGAATGTGTCCTATGTATTTGTAGTTGTATACAAAAGGACACTGGAAGCACACTCAACAATGATGCGATACAGTTTTGTTACTGTTTTAATGCAACCATTACACGTTGGACCTGGTAAATAAAGTATTATGTTGGTCTGAAGTTAGATTACTGAAACCCTCCGAACCCATCTCATCTGGACAGGGAGGGATGTGAGATCGCTGTTCACTCATAATGTTCAGTTTTTTACACCTTAGTTCTATTCAGGCTGATCACAAACTGAACAACATGGTTCCCTCCAGCCTGTTACATTGAGACACTCAAGGACAATTGTCCGAATGGAAGTCTTCCAACCCTTCAACTCTTTCCGCCTCTCCAAACTTACATTATGTGAACTGACCTTAAATGTATGCGGTATACAATTACTAATTGTGCCCGGAGGCCAGCCTCCTTAAGACAACTTCTAGACAAATTAAGTTTGAGATGTAAACTTTTGCCAGCTGTCTGTGAGGAAGGTGTACAGATTGTAATTATTTTATCACATCACAGCCTTCTAAGAACAGATAAATCCTCTTAACACCTTTCTTAAGGCTCTCCTATCACTCATCCTACAAAGGGCAATACAACTAACTGCGTTAGAAAAGATCAGAGATCTCTTAGTGAATGAGTCTCTCCTTGCTGAAGGCTTACAGTAGCACTGATAGCAGTCCTCAGTCTAATAAGCAGTGGTGGCTGTTATTAGGATATGTCCGTGATGAAATTAGCTTTAACAGGGCTGGGCTGGAACAATCACATTAACAGCTGCTGGGAAGTTGAGCAGTCAGAGACACTTTGCTAATAATTCCATGTTAAGTGCAGGAAGGCAACCGTGGTGCCTACATAAGAGAAAACATCACTAACTCACTAACAGTAAAGAGGTGAGAGCTCAACTCAATGCTATCAGCGCAGCCTTGTGAGGAACTTAAATACAAAACTCTGTTGGCAGCTTGGTGACTCGTTTCAAAATGTAAGAAATAATAACTGGGAAACGAGTTAAACCAGTCATCTACAGGAAGCATTTTTTTGAATTTCACACTAAACCCATGTTTTTATTAATTGGCTTTAAATGGTAGAATTTTGACATCCACCTTGCTCCTTCTTCTTGCTATATTTTCACATCTGATATATGGATTGTCTGTGTTGGTATATTTTATGTTGTTTATTCTGTAATATGACATCTGTCCATCCTGCAATAGACTACGCTACACTACCAACACTCGAAATCTTGCCAAGTATATTTGTCTAATTTCTAGTCAAAATATGTCTTTACGAATTATATAAGACCTAATAGCTTGAGAAGTAACAATGCAGTGAGATATAGGGTCTTGTTTTTAGACAATGCATCTTAAGTTATTGTTAAGTGAAAGATTCTTGAAAATATCTTATTTTCAGTTGGATCTCAGATCAAACAAGGTTTTTTTTTTACTATCAGAAAACAGAAATCTTTTGAGCATTTCTCACTTATTTTGTAACACAACATTTCCTGATCCTGGTAAATATAGTTCAAAATAAATGTTCCCAGCTAATAACAAGATCTCATTTATCTAAATATCCCATCTTATATCAAGACATCTTACCAAGCTAATGTTCAGCTGTCTGTTAGAAAGTGACTAATTTGATGGAAATGTTTCAGTAGATTTGAACTGTTATGAAATACTTAAACAATTAATTAATTTGACTTAATGGTCCCATGTGTGTGTGTGTGTGTGTGTGTGTGTGTGTGTGTGTGTGTGTGTGTGTGTGTGTGTGTGTGTGTGTGTGTGTGTGTGTGTGTGTGTGTGTGTGTGTGTGTGTGTGTGTGTGTCTGTGTGAGGAAGTCCGCGGATTGGTAACGTAACAGCTCCACGGATTGGTCCATTTGGACCAATGGGTCCATTTGGGTATGGGCACGGCACTGTACCCAGGAAGAAAAAGAGAAATCCCCAACGAGGCGTTCTGGGGCAGCACAGACAGGTCTTTTCTGTGTTAGAGTTTCACTCGCTACAGGGTGTACTTTGAGGGTTTGTGACTTTGCAGACCATTTACATGCATAAAAACCTTGGGGGTGCGGGTGCTAGTGGAGCCTCGCAGATGGGGTGTGCTGCGGCCCCCTCAGCATCCCCCCCTTCCTGCGTCCATTCGCGATGTCTCGCCGTCACGCAGACCCCACGCAGCAAGCAGGAAATGAACCCAGGTCACACTGTCCGCTCCTCGCAGCAGCGAGCCGCGCAACATCCCGCCAACACGGCACCCAGACCCCACGCAGCATTCTCATCTGTTTGTCATTACTGGTGTCATTTTCTGGTTGCTAACGCCATTGTAACACATAATCACTGATGTTCCGCTGTAACGGTGGTAGACCATAGTGGTAGACTCATCAGAACAGAGTGGGCGAGCTGACCAATCAGAGCACAGTGGGCTCACGGGGAGGGGGGGGCAGGAGCTCCAACAAGCCGTTTAGGACAGAGAGTGAATACACATACTATACAGAGATGCTGTATGAGAAACCAATGTGAGTTTGGAAAATTGCACAATATAAATCTATTCTAGTAGACCTCAACAATGGAATTATGATCAGTAGAAATGGCCAAATGGGGGGGGTGAAACATGTTACACTGGAAAAATGCTGCTCCAAAAACAAGTTAAAGTGTTTTCAGTTGTAATAAGTAAAAAGATCAGTGAACATTTGCTTGGTAAGATTTCTTGAAATAAGATGGGCTATTTAGATAAATTAGATCTTGTTATTAGCTTGAAAAATGTATGTTCAACTATATTTACCAGGATCAGGAGAAGTTGTGTTACAAAAAAAGCCAGAAATGCTCAAAGATTTTCTGTTTCCTGACGTTAGTTGGTGATTTTCCAATAAAAATGAAAAAAAAAAAACCTTCTTTCATCATCCAACTGCAAATAAGATGTTATCAAGGGTCTTTGACTTAAAAATAACTTAAGATGCAAGACTTACCACAGCGACGGCCTCCGAGGCCAGGATCTCCTCTGCTGACATCACAGTGTAGTACGCCACATTGGTCAGCACATAGCAGCAAGTCACAATCGCCATGGAGATACAGATAGCTAACGGCACAGTCCTGATGGCAGGAGGGAGAATAACAGAAGCATTACACCGTCATTCACATGTATGTTTCCTTCACCTTTCTCATGTATTATTCATAGGGGGGTGTGAAAGCACTATAACACTCAACAGCTGATCACTGTAGGAGACACTGTAGTATTTCAAACAGTTCAACCACATCTGGAGCTTTAGTTAGGATTTGTTAAGGATGGTGTATGTGTAGTAAAAAAAACGACGGTATGTGTTGTTGTGGTAATGAAGTTACATGTTTGCTAGTGTAACAGTGAAACAAATATTGAGGATTTTGAATCTTATGTCCATAGCAAATCACACAGTAAACCTTAGACCAGGCATCCTCAAACTACGGACTCCGGTCCGGATCCGGACCGAACCACCACTGTCTCCGGACTCTGAGCAAATTATACTTTTCATATGTATGATCTCTCTGTATTATATGTGAGACATCGCCACAACGCATTCGCAACGAGTCAAAATGCTCCGCTATGTCCACTGCAAACAGCGCTCTGCATGTCTGACTGTTCCACTGTGTTCCACCTGTGTGTGTCAACGCTTTGGTCCAATCACATTCAGCATCCAGTCAGCGTTTTTTTCCCCCAAACAATCTGCGAATCAGAGGCACAGTAGGGCGGGTCTTCGCGGAATGCGGGTGGGAAAAATGTGTGTGTCTCTTTCAACCTGTCTAAGTCAGAGCAAGAATAAAATAAAATAAAATTCAGAGCGAGAGCTAACAGCTCATCTAGTTCCATCTGTACTGTAGCTAGTAGCCTAGTTTCACCTACCGGGGTGGCAACTGACACCGTAAAAATAGGCCTTGCCACCCCAGCTGCCACCCCAGTTGGCAGCTTTGTTTTGAAAGAAAAGTTGTGGATCATCGGACATTTATGAGAGAAAGTCTCTAATGTCCGAGTGCAAGTGAATGCAGCACAAGATGCACGTCATGTAACCCCTCCCCCGGTCCTGGCGCGAGCGTGGACATACAATTGGCGGCGATTTCATTTTGAACTGGACGGCGCAAAACGAGAAGCATTCGGACCCAAGCGCTGAAGGAATGAGGTATTTGCGGTCTACAATGACGGAGAAGAGACTGTCAGTTTGGCTGTACTCAGCATTGAATCAAAACGCACTAAAGCTGTTGATCTTAATACGTTTGTGAGGCGTTTTGCTGAACAAAATGGTAATCGCCGCATTCAGCTGTAATAGACATGCCAACTTGATGCTCTGCTCACGGATGAGCATACACAACTATTAAGATGATGACCTTATGTGTGTAAATATATTGTTTTCTTTGAGGGGGTCTGCCCCCAAAAAACAGTTTTAAGTCCTGAGAAAGTCAAATAAGACGGTGTAAAACTACACTGCCCAGCCAAAAAAAAGTAACCACTTTGATTGAACTAGGCCAGTAGGTAAGGACTTTCCACTGGATAATAACTGCAGTATAAAATAATGCATGACTGAAGTGATGGAGACCATGTTGAAGGCAAACAAAAAGAGGAAATAACAGGTCAAATCAAGCAAATCCCCCTCTCAGATTCCACAGCAACCAGAAGAACATAAATACTGGCTGGTGATTTGATTCATCAGCTTTGTGATGGAATAAAAAATGCACAGTGCATTTCCTTAGCTGTGGGTGAGTCCACTGACACCACTGACAATGCTCAGTTGCTGGTGTTTGTGAGTTGTTATGATGAGGCAAAGGGGGAGTTTGTTGAAGATGTGTTGGGCCTGACGAACCTCAGTGGACACACAAGGGGGAATACATTTATAAAGCAATAATGGGAATGCTGAATGAAAGAGGGTGCAGCTGCCTTTAATCATAACTGTGCAGCTCTTACACTGCGACTCTGAGGGGTCAAGCACAGACACAATAACAATGAAAACTGCTGCATACAGATTATTTTTGTTTTTGCAACCTCGTGTTAAGAATCTTGTTGCAATTGTTTAAAAGTTTGAATGACCGTAATAAACGGACCTTTGTCTTATTGAAACATTTATTTTGGACCTTTAAGATTTGTATTTGAGTACCCCTGCCTTAGACTGTATTAAGTGTGGCTCATTGATGTGTTTGAATAGGGTTTGACAACAATGGAGCTGTATGATCCCATACACAATAGATATATCCCTATCAGATATACACTCATTGACATTTGAAAATATTCTCTCCCTTTTAGCTCTGGTTTGGTCTAGTTAGCTCTTAAGCTGTTAAATGCTACATTATGTTCACCAGCAGAGCAGGCAGAGAACAGAGGGGTTAGGCTGCCAGCTGCTGGTTGAAACCATGGATGTATAATATTAACTGGATACAGCGTCGGAGGCAGGGCCTCGTTCATCACTATGAGAGCTGCTCATTGGCGCATGAAGACAAAATGGCCTGACGCTCTCGAGATCAAAAAGTCACAAATTACCCGTCATGCCTGGTTGTCGAAAGCAGAAGTATCCGTATGTATGTTAACATAGCAGCTGTAGTACCGCCATGTGGCCACTACGAATATTTGCCTCAGCGTCATGAGAGTAAAACAATACAGTAATGTGGCAGGCCGCTCAACAGCACAAAGCTAAACCTCTCTGTGGGTAAATCTCTATCAGCAACTTCTTTCACAGAAGTGCAAAAATAATATTAAGATTCACTATAATGATACAACCAAAACATAAATCAAACTTACCGCTCAGGGTTATCCACCTCCTCTGTCACAAAGTTCAGATAGAACCTGCAAAAGGAAACACTTATTGTTTACCTCCAGTTGTAAAGCATGACTCTGAAAGTGTGTGTGTGTGTGTGTGTGTGTGTGTGTGTGTGTGTGTGTGTGTGTGTGTGTGTGTGTGTGTGTGTGTGTGTGTGTGTGTGTGTGTGTGTGTGTGTGTGTGTGTGTGTGTGTGTGTGTGTGTTCGAGGACCATACCTACCACCCAGCGTATGCGTACATCCCCGAGTAGAAGGCCAGTGGCATACCAGATAATTTCACATTGTTCATGTCAAAGGCATTCTCAAAGTTCTTGGTCTCTCCTGCAAAAACAACACACACACACACACACACACACACACACACACACACACACACACACACACACACACACACACACACACACACACATACACACAAGAGACACAATTATTTTTGTTGACATTTGGAAGCACCATTGCTCAGAGGGAATGTGTCAGTAATTAAATGATCTATGCAAACAGTTCTTACAAAAGACGAGGAGTGATATAGCCGAGACATTAACAATACCAATTGTCATAAAAGTAGATGGAGTAGACTGAATGAATAGAGATATAGTCAGCCCTATTAGGAAATGCATTATTCTGTAGAACACAGATATGTCAGATGGATTAAAACACTCAATGTAAGAACTCTTCTGTCGTATACAGGAGCTCACATTTATGAACACAAACTGCTCATACAGACACATTAAACAGCCCGAGTCGTACTGAGGTGTAGAGAGGCGTGAATTGTTTGTGATGATGATCACTGCATGCATAGGGGTGAATATAAATAATACAGGGCTGTTGAGAGGCCCCAATTGGCTGGACATTTGTGTTAATTTGGTTTAATACAAATGTATTATTAAGCACCTTGTCAATTTTCAGAACCCAAGCAACAAATCAGGACTCTTCTTACCGCCCTTATTACATTACATTACATGTCACTTGTTAGACGCTTTTATCCAAAGCGACTTACATACTCAGTACAGTGGGCAATCCCCACAGGAGCAATTTGGGGTGAAGTATCTCAGGGACACAACGACATGCTGACTGTAGTGGGGTTTGAACCTGTGACCCCCTGATCCCAACACCAAGGCCCTTTCTCATTTCTCTAACTCCCCTCCTTGACTCCCCTCCTCGACTCCTATCCTCGAGACTTAGTTCCGCCCACAGGAGATGCGAGCGGAGGAGCGGAGGAGGGGAACCGAGGAGGGGAACCGAGGAGAGAGGAGGCGAAGCAGCAGGCGGTTAGAGAAATGAGAACTCCTCTCCTCTGAGCGGTCATTTTAAAGAGACGTGCATTAATGATGACAGGAGGCACAGCAGCACTCTGTCTGATGGACAGATGTGTTCATGACCACTTATATATTTACTTTAATTCATTCACAGTGCGGTATAATGAGACAATAACAGGCTACAGATGCGGACACACACACACACACACACACACACACACACACACACATATATATATGTATATATTTATATAAATATATACAATTTCAGAATGAAACAGAGCACTCTCATAATAACGTAACACTATCAGAGACTGGATATACGATATACCCCCCCCCCCCCTCTCCCCTCTCTGGTCGCTACAATGAGGAAAATAAATTACGGGCCAAAAGTTTTATTTACAAGTATTAAAAGTAAGCAGAGGACACCAAACCAACTGAGACCTGTCTGTCCGCTGCATCTACCACACACATCTACACCACACACACGCACAGCTCCTAACCTAAAGTATATAATCAGGCTATAGCCGTTGTGTATTTTATTATGTGAAGCACTAAATGGTCTTAGAAAAATATCGACTCTTTGTTTGTAGATATCTACTAAACTAAAGCAAATAAAGAGAGTAGGCCTGTTATACTGAGTGATATATATTATACACACTGCTCTGCTTTCTGCACGGACCTCACAGCTGTTCTCTCTGGAAACATCGCAACGCGATGAAAGCAGTTTCTAAAATAATATCCAGGGGATGCATGCAGAGCTGTCATTGGCTGAGATATGTCCGGCCGGGCGTCACGACTCTTTGAAACATCTCTGTTCCCGGAAATGCATCCAACCGTGGAGGACCCATCAGTGTATCCTCGGTTAGTTCTCCTCCAGAGAGCCTCCTCGACGCTCGATCCTCGGTCCTCGAAGTGCATTTAGAGAAATGAGATGTCCTTCAACATGGCGCGCTGAAATTCATTTCCGGGTCACTACCGGAGGACCGAGGAATCGAGGAATCGAGGAGGGGGATTTGATGAAATGAGAAAGGGCCCAAGGCTCTATCCACTGCACCACACGCCCCCCTTATCATTTGATTGGATATTGTTTCGCCGTTACTGTAGTGCATACTCACAAAGACATTTGCAATTAATCCAAAGATCACAAAGACACTGGAATACTATAAATACGGAGCCTTGGTGTTTATCAGTATTGTAAATGTCGTTTCATTAGGGTTAGGGTTTTAAAGGTTACCTACAGTATCATGCTATTTTTAAGCAATAGCATAGTCTCAGATATATACAAATATATAAAAAACATGTCTATGAAGTGTTTTGCTCAAAATACCAAACAGATCACCCATTCTAGCCTCATAAACCACATCAAGGATTATTTATGAAACAGTATGGAGCTCAAATGCTTTTTCTCTTGCGGGTAAAAAAGCAGGAAATAAAAAGGAACTCACCTTACCATAAGGTGAGTTCCTTTTTATTTCCTGCTTTTTTACACATGCTCTCTCCACTACAGGTTAGCTCTGAGTGTTAGCGATACTTGCTAATGTAAACAAAGACCATATTACGTCCAAAACAGTCGGGCATTGTTTTCTGATAGCAACTTTCTGATAGGGCCGTGGGTCCACATTTCCGATATATAATCAGGTATCAGGGTCAGAGGAAGAACCTAGAGCTGGTCTGCAGCTCAAGAACTCTGAATACTTTAATGAGAGAGCATTCCCATTAACATGTATATGATATGTCATGACAATGCTGAATCCAGAAATCCCCAATGCATGTGTAAGATTGATGTTCACAGTCAGATGTTGCAGGGAGGTGTTCTGAGGGTGCAGGGCCCCCTGAAGCCCCAGCTGGTTGTTGCTTGTGTGAGCAGCTGTGTCTCACGGCCCGCGTGGCCTCGGGGTTATATTTACACTGCATGTTGTTGTGTAGGACAAAGGAAGCCATGTCAATTGTTACAGCTGAGCAATTGTTCCTTTTCTCCGTTGCGTGTCCCACTGCGAATACCACCCTTCAGAGTAGTTAAACAGCGTAAAATACACAGTTTATGTGCTATAGCAGGGGTGTCCAAACTACGGCCTAGGGGCCAATTGTGGCCCGTTGTCCATTTTGAATTGGCCCTCATCAAATTCAAAAAGTATAATGGAATATGGCCCACTTTTCAAATAAATTCAAGTTTAAAACATTTTCGAACAAAAACCACAATAACTTGAAATATACCCATCATATTTTCCCTTAATAAGCAATCTGAGGCTTCTGTTTTAAGGAATGAGCTGCCAACACTTTTTTTTAACGAAATCAATGAAACCCTAAAGCAGGGGTGCCCAACCTTTTTTGAACCGAGAGCTACTTTTAAAGTTGCCAGTCTGCCGAGATCTACCAGTCCAAATAGAGAGGCGTAGCCATTACTGACAGCCTACTACCAGGTAACTACACACTTCTACTTGTATAAAACTGACCTTTGTACAATTAATACTTCATAAAATACTGCAGATCCTTTATCTTACCTCTTTCTAATCTACACACATACAAGTGTTTAACTGAAGTTACACAACAGTGTTGTTGATACAGAGTTGGGTCATGTTTTCAAGAAACATTGAACAGTGCTGCCACATATGACACAGGAAAAAGAGAAAAGACTCTGAACCCTTTCTTTGCCATTATATAAAAATAGTGTTGCTACAAAAGTATAAATTAGGCGTACTAATAAGACAACTCAGATCTGAAGCTACACAGGAATCTGCTGCCAAAGTGCAATAAAAAAGACAAAATTAATAGAATCAAACCCTTTTTTTGTTGCATTTTAGTAGAGTATAAAAAGAAATGCCTTTAAAATAGGATGCAAGCAACACTAGTTTCTTAACCTGAATTGATAATAGACTATAATCAATTTAAACAGAACAGATCTTAATGTTTGCATTCTTATACAATTTTTTACAATAATTATCATGAATAACTTCAAACAAACTAAAACTTACAGCTGATTAATAACGGTATCTAACTTAAGTTTTTATTATATCAAAAACCTGTTGAAATGCTACGGTTATTTTGACTGTCCCCCAAAAGCGCGTCGGCAGCCTCCAGGAATGCTTCTTTCACAACTTCGCCGTCTTTGAAAGACTTCATGTGTTTCGCAAGAATGTGACTGACACGATAAGATGCTACGGAAACAGTTCTAAATTGGTTTGAATCCTACTTAAAGGACAGAAACAACTTTGTTTCTATAGGTAAATACACATCTGAGTTGACAAATATGACATGTGGGGTTCCTCAAGGCTCCATCTTGGGGCCTCTTCTCTTTAACATCTACATGCTACCACTGGCTCAGATAATGAAAAACAACAAAATAAGTTACCATAGCTATGCAGATGACACACAAATGTACGTAACAATTTCACCAGGAGACTATGCTCCAATTCAAACACTGAGTAAGTGCATTGAACAAATCAATGACTGGATGTGTCAGAACGTTCTCCAATTGAACAAAGATAAAACTGAGGTAATGGTTTTTGGAGCCAAGTCAGAACGTATAAAAGTTAGCGCTGAGCTTCAGTGTGCAATGTTCAAAACAACAGATAAAGCCAGAAATCTAGGTGTAGTCATGGACTCTGACCTGAGTTTCAACAGTCACATTAAAACAGTTACTAAATCAGCCTACTATCACCTAAAGAATATATCTAGGATTAAAAGACTAATGTCACAGCAGGATTTGGAAAAACTTGTCCGTGCTTTTATCTTCAGTAGACTCGACTACTGCAATGGTGTCTTCACAGGTCTCACTAAAAAATCTATTAGAAAGCTGCAGCTGATTCAGAACGCCGCTGCTCGAGTCCTCACTAACACTAAGGAAGTGGATCACATCACTCCTGTTCTGAAGTCTTTACACTGGCTTCCTGTGTGTCAAAGAATAGATTTCAAAATACTGCTGCTGGTTTATAAAGCACTGAATGGTTTAGGCCCAAAATACATTACTGACCTCCTGCTAAATTATGAACTATCCAGATCTCTCAGGTCTTCAGGGACTGGTCAGCTTTCTGTCCCCAGAGTCAGAACTAAACATGGTAAAGCAGCGTTCAGTTATTATGCTCCAAATATCTGGAACAAACTCCCAGAAACCTGCAGGTCCGCTGCAACTCTGACTACTTTTAAATCCAGGCTGAAGACTTTTCTTTTTGTCGCTGCTTTTAATTGAACTATTCATATCTTAGACTGCACTGTAACTTTTATCCATGTACTTTTTCTTTTAATGTTTAATTGAACTATTCATATCTTAAACTGCACTGTAACTTTTATCCATGTATTTTTTCTTTTAATGTTTATTTTATTAGCTTTTCTTTTTAATGACTGATTTTAAATGCCATTTTCTTAATGTCTTTCATTTTTTGTAAAGCACTTTGAATTGCCTTATGTTGAAAAGTGCTAAATAAATAAATAAATAAACTTGCCTTGCCTTGCCTTGCCTTGCCTTGCCTTGCCTTGCCTTGCCTTGCCTTGCCTTGCCTTGCCTTGCCTTGCCTTGCCTTGCCTTGCCTAGCCTAGCCTAGCCTAGCCTAGCCTAGCCTAGCCTAGCCTAGCAGCCTTGCTCTTGTTGTTGGGCCTGGTGAAAATGGACTGCTGTGCATTTAGCTGTCCTTTCAGGCCCCTCCCCTTTTGGAGCGTAGGGCAGAATTAGGTGGGAATTCCGTCTCGTAGCGTTTGTGCACTGTTTTGAAATGCCGCTCCTAAATTACCCTTCTTCAATAAAGCCACGCTCGCATTGCAGATGAGACAGATGGACTTTGAATTGGAATAGATACAAAAATAATCATCACGTTATAGGACATTAACGATAAAACAGAATATTGTTGTTCTATTTTTAGACACATCTCGCGATCGACTGGGAATCTCCCCGCGATCGACCTGCCCTAAAGAGAGCTGTGATGTATGCTGTTGGTTTTCTTAAAGCATGTTCAAGTGTCAAGCCTAATGTACGTACATTTGATAGATTTAGCTAATTTATAACTTAACTTATTAGGCAATATACATCACCTCTAGTGAGTGGCCCCCCTTAATGCTTTTTTTTTTATGTGGCCCTCAGGGAAAAAAGTTTGGACAACCCTGTGCTATAGTATATTACTAATAGAGGCCATTAGAGGAGATGCTAATAATGGTGGTGATGATGATGCTGGTGGTGATAGTGAAGGTGCTTACCATTAAAGAGCTGGTACATTCCAGGTACTATGATGACACCCATGGCCAGCAGCTTGCAGAAGGTGAGAACGATTTGAATCCTAGCTGTCCATGTCACACTCATACTGTTCAGGTACATAACAGAAGCTACAGGGACAGGAATAATAGAAATGTTAAAGCAGACCATTTATTAAGTTAATTATACTTATTTGAACTCCTACCTGTCCTATACTGTGTTTCCAAAACTTTAATTTTCTTAAGGGGATCAACAAAGGTTCATCTTATCTTAACTTATTGAATCTCATCTTATCTTATACCCATTGTCGATATTCACTGCCAATGCAGCAAGAAGTGTCACCTTCATGGACAAAATCTGAGAGTTAGAATCTAGAAGTCAGGAGGGTTGATGGCAGCAGCAAAAAAAGTGCAGACCAAAGTTTGTGTCTCAGCACAATTCAACAGTTAATGTTTAATGGAGCTGTGTTTGAGTTGTTTGGGGCCTGGGTCAAGAGGAGCTGATGAAATGGGACTTAAATTAAAGCCGCCAAAACCAGTGCTTGTCATTTTATAATGTGTGGGTCTCTTGAAAATATCTTATTTAGTAAATCTTTGTGAGTTTAGTAAGTTCTTTGCAATTAATGTGTCTGAAGGTCTTGCAAGTGCTGTTAAAGTCATGAACAGAACTTCATCTTTTGATTGTTTCAAACAAGAACTCGTCTTGTGTCATGTTGGCAAATGGAAAAGACAGAGAGTGACAATTACTGTCTGCCACAGAAATGTAACTGTTTTCAAGTACAATCATGAAATACATTTTACTGGTATTTTCTTCTCTGTCTATAACTGCACAGAGGTTACAACGAGTCAAACTATTGTAGTATGTTGACATTGTTATGATGTTTTAAAGTAATGCTTGTCTAGGTATACATACTGATGCCGATGGCGGTGGCCAGTTTGACCGCCATGGGGGGGACTGCACAGGGCATGAACAGGGGCTCCAGGATGTACTGACCGAACGCCAGAGAGATGACCGCCATAGCTGCAGGCCTGGAGGACACACACACACACACGCACACACACACACACACACACACACACACACACGTACATTGAAATTGTTCACTTATAGTTATAGGGATGATACACAAAGAATGGTCATTCACAAAGCAGAGTTTTTCATTCGATCCCATTCTATTTCTCTCTGTTACTTGGTGCTCAGCAGCAGACAGACACAGTGAGAGAAGAGCTGAAGAAGAAAGTGGAGCATTTAGCAGCTAAGAGATATATATTTATTTCATGGGCCGGTGAAGACCCAAACAGAGCTGAATGTGTACTGAATTTTGAAAATGGCGGCAACTACAGTATGTGCGAGCAGTCGGGAATAATATGACACTTGTTAATACTATACTAATTTGACCACAAATGTACAATATTCTAAACATTATGAAAAGGTCATGGGGACTGACCAAGTTTGGACTTTTAAAATAAAATGCTCTATAAGGGGCGCTAGAGAGCCTGCTGGCAACTTCAAAGCCTTTTCACTGCAGATTTTCGCCATTCCCAATGTCTGTGCGAAATGTTCCTGCGTTTTCGAGCAGCCTAAGACCCTCAAGGCACATTTGTGCTCTGGCCCTAATAAATATGTGTATGTCTGGAGGTTTTGTAGGTACCCAGCTTTCTGCCAAAAAGTGATCTACTGTAAATGTCGGTCCTTTGTGTTTCCCTAACACTCTAATGCTTCAGATTGGGTAATCTGCAACCACTGTAGGAGCCAAAACGTTGATTTATTATTTGTATTTATTTAATCATTTAATGTATGTAATGGAGTATAATTGATTGGTGTCAAGTGATCATGATCCGCAGCCACGGCTGGGCGGAGCGGCTGATTGGTGCTGTGATTGCCTCAGCTGGTTAAAAGAGTCCTGCTGATGATACTCTGTGTTCTAGTTTGGTTGTGAAGCCACACGGTTTTTTGACCGCTGCATTGCACTGCAGAGAAGGATAACTTGGAAATAAATATACCAAAAGAAAGGTGACTGAGTGATGTGTGAGCGCGTCGGCCAGGCGCTAAAACCAAAGAACAAAAGGAGCTTAAGAAAGGTGGAAAGAAGGCTCGTTTAATCGTCAAAAACCCAGCTTGATGAGCGCTGGTCCGTGGAAACGTATGTTTTGAAAACAAGAACTCATAACAGCGTGTCAAACACTCGCCTTCGTTTTACTACGGATTCTACTTCCTAGAACGACGGTGTTGTGAAACGTGAATGACTGAAGGCAACAATCACTCCTCCCCCAACGACATCTGTAACGCGTCACTGCTGTGGAGCGTTCAAAGACTGTTGGAAACGTCTCAACTCAAGGCAAGACAATGAAAGTCCACAAACAATGAAGTAAAATTCAAAAGGAATAAACGTGTTGTCTTGAACAAAAATGGCAGACTTGGAAAGCTTGGAAAGTGACATTGACTGTGTGTATATGGAAAGGCTCAAACGACTGAAATCATCAAGGAGTGCAACATTGGGTGCATTGACAAGGAAAAGAAATGAAATCAGACAATTAATGGAAAATGTCTGCAATGTGGAACTGGTTAAGTCGAAAAGGGAAAGTGAGTTTACACAACTACACAAAGAAATGGAACAGTTAAATGATTCTGTTCAAGCTTTAATGTCCACTGAGGAGGAGAAAGAAATGGATCAGGATGAATGGTATAACCCCAAAGCAGCTGCCTTGGAAGAGTTTAATCAGGAGGTCTTAAACTGGATCGCTGATGCTCCTGTGTCCAATGTGGTCCAGACAAAAATAAAAGGACATACGAGTGTTGCACCTCGGGACAGTATTTCAAACGTAAAGAGTGTTCATTCACAAAGTTCAAGGAGATCCTCTTGGTCTTCTATCACATCTGCTAAAATAAAGTTGGAAAATAGAAATGCAGAATTGTTAGCACGAGCTGCTAGGCTGACTCAGAAGCAAGCACTGGAAAGGGAGGAAGCCGGTTTGAAGGCAAGAAAGGAACAGCTGGAACTTGAAACAGATATTGCAGCAAACACTGCAAAATTAAATGTAATCAAAGGAATGGAGGATTGTCATGCAGGCACGTACCAAGCAGGAGACAGAATGAATGAATATTTGGATCACTCACTGTTTGTGAGTACAGCATTAGAGCAAGAAAATGCTCATTTGAATGCTAACAAGCATACACCAAACATCAATAAAACTGCAAATGCCATTAATAGTGAAACACAATTCATACCACAACGTCCTGAAAGTTCAACTTCATCCAGCACGTCTTCTAGCAAGGGAGAGGGCAATATGAATAACTTAATAAGCATCATGGAAAAACAGACCATAATAACAGAAACAATGGTAAAGCAGCAGAAACTTTCTTCATTACCCCCGCTCAGCATTCCTACCTTCAACGGAAACCCTTTGGACTATCGGTCCTTCATAAGAGCATTTGAGCATGGTATTGAAGAGAAAACAGAAATCAGTAAGGACAGGCTTTACTTCTTGGAGCAATGCACTATTAGCCAACCAAGAGAGCTTGTGCGCAGTTGCCAATATATGCAATCTGACAAAGGATACACGGAAGCAAAAAGGTTGTTGAAGCATCATTATGGAGATGAATATCTTATCGCGACAGCCTACATCGACAAGGCTCTCAATTGGCCATCTATTAAACCTGAGGATCCACAAGCTTTAAAAACCTTTGCTGTGTTTCTGAATGGATGTCTCAATACAATGGATAGTGTGGAATACATGGAGGAAATGGATCACCCAATCAACATGCGAGCTGTTCTTTCTAAACTCCCATATAAGCTTAGAGAAAACTGGAGAGCTAAAGCTTGTAACATACAAGATGGAAACAACAGAAGAGTTAAGTTTGAAGATCTAGTGAAGTTTGACGACCATCATGCTAGAATCCTTTCTCATCCAGTGTTCGGAAACTTAAAGGAAATTCCAAATACATCAGCAAAGACAAGCTACACATTCGTTCCTGCTACTCCCAGCGCAAGGTTCAAACCGAGATCTCCAGAGTTATATAAAAGTGGTTTTGCCACTAGTGTATCCCCATTACCTCAGAAAGAAAACTGTAACCGACACAGTGACACATCCCAATCAAACCGATGCATCTACTGTAAAGGAGAACACCATCTTTCTGCTTGCAATCAGATTCTCAAAAACACCCACAAAGAGAAGTTGGAATTCCTCAGAAGCAAAGGACTTTGCTTTGGATGTTTAGAAAAGGGCCACATGAGTAAAGGATGCAAACAAAGACATACCTGCAAAGAGTGCAATCTCACACACCCCACTCTGTTGCATTTCAGTAATATCGAGTCGAGCAAAGGAAAGGTAAAGACTGTTGCAAATGCTTTAGTGGATATGGATAAAGACGATTCACGGGAGGAGGATATTGGGGCCGGTGAGCCTGAAGGCACCCTGGCTATCGTTCCTGTGAAGGTGAAAACAAAACAGGGTAATACCATCATAACAACATACGCCTTTCTGGACCCAGGTAGTACGGCTACCTTTTGCACAGAGTCCATTCTACAGCAGCTTCAAGTGACTGGACGCAACACGAAGATACTCTTACGAACAATGAATAAAGAGGAGTCAGTTAAAACATCTGTTGCATGTGACCTTGAAATATGTGGTCTAGAAAGTAACCAGTATGTAGCACTTCCACCTGTTTATTCACAAAACAAAATACCAGTACGAAAGGCAAATATTCCCTCTCAGGAGGACGTGGGACAATGGGAATACCTGAAAGAGGTCAATATACCACAAATTGATGCAGAGGTTGGCTTGCTAATTGGGTGCAACGTGCCAAAAGCTCTAGAGCCATGCAAAGTCATAAACAGCCAAGGGAATGGCCCGTACGCTGTTAAGACCATTTTAGGTTGGACAATAAATGGACCTCTAGGAAGGTCAGATACGACTCGTTGGATTAAGCCAGTCGTTACAGCAAACAGAATTTCTGTTGTGGAAATCGAGGAATTGTTGAAGCAGCAAGTGAAGCTGGACTTTCCAGAACATCAACACAAGGAGCGTCTGGAAATGTCAAGAGAGGATCACAAGTTCATGGAAAGTGTCTCTAATTCTGTCAAGTTAGTAGACGGACACTACAGTATTGGACTGCCATTAAAGGAAAAAGGACTTGATTTTCCCAATAATAGACGTGTTGCTGAACAAAGAGCTTTGAACCTAAAAAGAAAATTCCAACAAAACAACAAATTCTACAAGGAGTACAAAGAGTTCATGGCGGATGTTGTTGATAAAGGTTTTGCCATCAGAATGACACCTGAACAAAAAGACAAGGCAAATCAAAGCAAAAGGAGCTGGTATATTCCACACCACGGCGTGTACCATCCAAAAAAGCGTAAACTGAGGGTGGTTTTTGATTGCGGTGCAACTTACCAGGGCACATCTCTGAATGCACGTCTTCTCCAAGGCCCAGATTTAACCAACAGTCTTATTGGTGTCCTTACAAGATTCCGGCAGAAGAACATTGCATTCATGGCAGATATTGAAGCCATGTTCCATCAGGTCAAGGTGCCAGAGGAAGACTCAGATCTTCTCACATTCTTGTGGTGGCCCGATGGAGATCTCAGTAGTGAGCTAGAAGAGTACCAAATGGTTGTACACATCTTTGGAGCAACATCCTCGCCTAGTTGTGCACACTTTGCCCTACAACAGTGTGCAAGAGACAATGTGGATGACTTTAGCCCAGAGGCTGTCTCTTCGATGCTAAGAAATTTTTATGTGGACGATTGCCTAAAATCAATGGAAGACGAGAGGAAGGCAGTGATAATCGCTCACGAACTTAAAACCCTGTGCAGTAAGGGTGGTTTCAAGTTAAACAAATGGGTAAGCAACAGCAGAGCTCTACTACAAACAATACCCGAGGAAAGTAGATCAAAGGAAATCAAGGATCTGGATCTGGATAAAAGTACCCTACCTGTTGAAAGAGCTCTCGGAGTTCAGTGGTGCACGGAAACGGACTCATTCCATTTCAAATGTACTCCTCAGGATAAACCACTTACCAGGAGAGG